GCCCCGGCCCCGCCCCAGGCACCCGCCCCCAGCCCCTCACCTCCCGCAGTGTTCGGCACGGTGCCCTTCCTGTCGTCCATCCTGAGCACGATGCTGCCCATGCTGGGCTGGGCCAAGCGCGACTGCACGCGCGTGGTCTTCTGCTACGGTAAGCGGCTGTACCCTGGCGTGCGCGGCCAGCCCCAACGGGGGGGCATCACCCCCACAGGCACCTATAGCCCCCTCCCAGTGGATGCCGAGGCGGGAGTGGGTCCATCTCCCACTGGCCCTGAGTCCTGTTGGGGGCCGCGGGGTCACTGTCCAAGTGCAGCTCTGCAGCGCTTCAGCGAGAGCGCTCTGGAGTACCTGGCCAGCCCGGACCAGGCCCCGGACCCCACCATCAGGAGGGACAGCTTCGCCGCCGACATCCTCGGTGCCTACGAAGTCCTTTTCCACCACTGGTTACAGAGTCGCGAGGCCAAGGTATGGCTGCCTGCGCCCGCCGGCTGGCCTGGCCGTGCCCACTGCCCCACGCCCACGCCCACGTGCCGGTGGCTGTGGCGTCCTGGTGCCGGGGCCGGTTAACGCCGGCCTGCGGTCTCCCCAGGCCCTGCCTGTCTTCTGCCCGGCCCTGCCCTTCCGGCTGTGTGGCTCCTGCCCAGGTCCATGGACCCAGGCCAGCGGTACTGGGGTCCTAGGTCAGACCTGCACTCGGCGCCCCTGTCCCCTCAGCTCCGGCTGGCCGTGGTGCAGGCCCTGGGGCCTATGAGCCAGCTGCTGCCCGCTGAGAAGCTGGAGGAGCAACTGCCCAGGCTGCTGCCCGGTGTCCTGGCCCTCTACAAGAAGCATGCCGAGGCCTTCCCTGTGTCCCAGGTGAGCCCGGCCGTGGGGGCCGAGAACCTGGGCCCCTGGTCATGGGGGTCCAGTGGCTCCCCAGCCGTTCAGTGGATGGGAGCCCCATGGGTCCCTTCTTGGCTCCTAGTTCGGGAGCAGCCTTGCTCCCAAGTCCTGGCTGCCCGGTGGCCTGGGGCTGCCCTGGTCAGCTGCACAGGGCTTGGGGCTCGGCGTGGCACCAACCATCCTCCCTGCTTGAGCAGAGCCTGGGCCAGATCCTGGAGGCGGCCGTGAGTGTGGGCAGCCGCACACTGGAGGTCCAGCTCGACACCCTCCTGGCGGTCCTGCACGCCCAGGTAGCGTGGCGCTCTCGGCAGAGTGGGCTCTGGGCCAGAGTGGCCTCGCCCGAGCGGAGGGCCCATGGGTGGATGGAGCCGGCAGCCGGGTTCCCTGAGTGACAGGGCAGCGGGTGGGTGAGGCAGACGCAGGCCAGCCTGGTGCCCCGGCGCACACTGCACTGGCCACGCTGGCAGAGTGGGGTCGGGGGCCCCTGGCTTACTGCTAGAGAAATCAGAAGTGGCCGCGTCTGGGGAGAGGAGGCGCCAGGGCCTGGGATCCAGGCTGGTCAGTCGGAACAGCAGCTTCGTGAGGCTGCTCTCACCCAGTCCCAGGGTCACTGCTGTGTCCTGCACCAGGCCGGGCCTCCCCGGGAAGGGGAGGGGCCTTCTGGCCCGAGGCAGCCTCCTGGCCTGGCCCACCCCACACAGCCCCGGCACCAGCCCCCCGGGAGCACACGAGGGTGACTGGCCTGTGTCCAGCTGAAGCGGTGAAGACACAGCGGTGAAGCTGTGTCCCTTGGGCAGGGACACAGGCGTAGCCACTTGTCGCACGGGCAGGACTCCTGACTGGGCTGTGGCAGCTTCCAGCTCTTGTGGTCGCTGGGTGCTGTCTGGACACACACCCACCCCGTGCTAGGCTGCGGTTCGGACTACCCAGCCATTCCCCACGCCCCCTGACGTCTGTCCCTCCCAGCCGGGCACGCCACACTTTGCAGTCGCTAAGCCCCGCAGTGGCTTCCCGGGTCCCGCTGCCCGCCTGCTGCCCGCCCCTGCCTGCCACGCATGCATTGGTGTTAGGGCAAGTGAGTGTCCAGAAGCTCCCACTGGCCATGCTGCCTATGGGTGCAGGTCACCCCACATGTAGGCCCTGGCTGTTGGGCCCCAGGCACTGGGTGGCGGAGCTGGGCAGCATCCTGGGGTCTGGCTTGTCCACACCCATCTGAGGCCCCCACATGACGGCAGCTCTCGGTAGGCCCTTGGGACGGGGGTTGGGGCTCACTGCCCACAGCAGCCACTCCCTGCACTCCGGGCTGAGCTCTGCACACATGGCTGTGGAGCCAGAGCCCTGGGCCGGCCTTTGGGGTCCAGCGTTGTCCTCAGCCCTGCCCGCTGCCCCCAGATCTGCGTGCCCGTCGAGTCGTCGAGCCCCTTGGTGCTGAGCAACCAGAGGGAGGTGCTGCGCTGCCTGACGGTGCTGGGTGAGCACGGGGCCGGCAGCGGGCAGCGGGCGGGCAGGCAGCGGGCGGGCAGCGCGGCTCTGTGGGCACCTCTTCTGCCTCCCTGGTCACTCTGAGTGCCGCCTGCAGCTTGCTGCTCGCCCGACCGCCTGCTGGCCTTCCTGCTGCCCAAGCTGGACAGCAGCAACGAGAGGACCCGAGTGGGCAGCCTGCAGATCCTGAGACACGTCATCAACTCGGCCCGTGGGTGCCCTGGCAGCGCTGTCCGTGGTGCCGCCCCTGGGAACTGTGGGGGAGCTGGGTCCCCGCTGGCCCTCGCGCCAGGGCTCGGGCTGTGGCTCCCCCTGCACATGCACCCTCAGGCGAAGCCCCGGGACGGCCTTGGCTGGTCCTCACGACTGGTGCCAGCGGCCGGCAGGGCCCAGGCCTGCAGGGCGGGCGGCGTTCAGCTGGCCCTGGCCGCGGCCCTCATGCCCAGCGCCCATACCCACTGTGGGCCGGGCCCCCACCAAGCCCACTCGCGCCTGCAGCCTTCTGCAGACCGGTCCATGGCTTGTTAGTGGCACGGTGATGTCCCTCGGGAAGCCACTGGCCCCGGGGGCAGCGCCTGACTCCCGCCTGCCTCGCAGCTGCGCGCATGGAGGCCAAGAAGCCCTTCATCCTCTCCGCCCTGAGGCTGCCTCTCCTGGACACCAGCAGCAAGGCAAGTGGGCGGCCCGCAGCAGGTTGGAAGACACCGGCGGGGGCTGCAGCAGGGCCAGGCGGCGGGGCTGGGGCGGCGCCCTGGGGGCACCGGGCGCGATTGCAGGGCCAGGAACCCCGAGTGTGGGCTGCAGGTGGGTCGCGGCCCCGGAGCCCGAGAGGGTCCGGCCCGGCCATCTGTCCGGCACTGCTCCAGCCGCGCCCTCACCACCCTGTTGGTCCTGCAGGTGAAGCGGGCAGTGGTCCAGGTGATCAGTGCCATGGCCCACCACGGCTACCTGGAGCAGCCGGGGGGCGAGGTGATGGTGGAGTTCATCGTGCAGCAGTGCGCACTGCCCGCGCCGCCGGAGCCGGGGGCGCAGGTGAGGGGCTGCCGCGGGCCCGGTCCCTTCCGGAGGGCGCTGGAGAGGGAAGCCGCAGAGCAGGCCCAGGTCCCGGGCCCACCCAGGCGTCCCGAGGGTGGAGGCTCCAGAGGGGCCTCGTGCCGCTGGGCCCCGGCCCGCTCTGCCCTGCGCAGTTGCCCTGCGGGTCAGCGGGACGCTCTGGCCGCTTGGCCTGTCGGGCTTCCAGTAGCGCTGCCGGCTTGTCCGACGCCGCCTCTGCAAGGCGGCGCGCTGGCCTGTGGCCACCGCCGCGTGGCTGTCAGTCCCTTTCGTCCCGGAGCCCCTAGGCTCGTTCCTGACTTGTGCAGAAGCAGCGGTCAGCTCGGCGGGGGCTGTGCTTGCACCGACTGGCCGCGCCCCGGCCTGCCGGGCCCCTGGTGGGCTGTGTGGCTGGTCTGTAGCTGCCTCGTGGCCTGTAACGCTGGCTCCTTCTGGCTGCCAGTCCCTGGACACAGCGGTGTCTGCTGGCACCTCACCGCCCTCCGGGCTAGCGCCATCGCCCACAGGGCCTGGAGCGTGTGGCGGCAGGAGGTGTCCTGGGGGCATGTTGGGGGGCTGTGGTGATGGCCCCCCAGGCGCAGGCTGAGGGCCGAGAGGGACAGCCCCGGGAGCTGGCCCGACAGCAGTGTCCCGGGAGGGTCGGACGACCCGATTAGTGCGCTGCAGCCCAGTGGGGCTCCATCTGTCCTTGGTGCCTGCCCGCGGTGGCCCTTTGCCTGGCCCCACCCCCCTTTGCTGTCCTGTCCTCCCTGGGGTCTCCATCCTTTCTCCCAGGCTGGTCATCTCCACCCAGCAGTGCCCCTCGTTGTCCACTTCCCGATCCACGACCGGGCTGCTGCCGGTATCTCTTCCGGCCCGACTGCCCCTGAGTCCTGCCCAGTGGCCCTGCCCCCGCGGACTCGGCGCCCAGGCAGTAGGCTGGTGTGCGCTGCGCTTGCGGCACGAGACCCTGGCCTGGCCACACGAGGGCCCTGGGCGTCTGTAGGCCGCGCCGGGCCGCGGCCGGGCCACAGTGCCGCAGCGTCCGGCCTCTGGCAGGTGCCATCAGGCGTCTCCTGCCCCCACGGTGAGGCTGCACCCAGCGCCGGGCCCTGGGGCTGCCCCACGCCTGCCTGGTGCTTCTGGGGCCCGGGAGGCCCCGCACGGCAGACAGAACCCCGTCGTCTTCTTGTCTGCAAGCGTCCTTAGGCGCCAGGCTGGGCGCCTGGTCCACAGCAGGACGCTGGCAGCCCTCAGGCTGCATGTGGGGCGCCGTCGGGCGGGGCTGCGGGGACACCCAGGCCTTGTTTGTGCCGGAGGCCGGAGCAGCAACCTGTCCATGGCGGTCACGCGGCCTCTCCTGTGAAGTGTGGCACTGCGGGTCCCCTCCTTGTGGGCGGGCGGGTCTGCCAGCCATGTCCAGGCAGCTCGGACAGGTGAGCCACAGCCTGACCTTTGCCACCCTCAGGACAGCGAGGCCCTGGCTGAGGACAGCGTGCGGTCCATCAGTGTTAGCACCCTTTACCTGGTCAGCAGCACGGTGGACAGGATGAGCGACGTGAGTGTCAGGCCTCCGCCGCCCCTGGTGCGGGGCGGCCTCGGGCACCTGGCCCACTCTGGTCACACACGGCTGACCAGGCTGTCCCCCAGGTGCTCTGGCCGTACCTGCTCGAGTTCCTCATGCCCGTGCGCTTCACCGGGGCCCTGACGCCGCTCTGCCGCAGCCTCTTGCACCTGGCGCAGAAGCGGCAGCAGGCGCGGCCCGATGGCTGCCTGGTCCAGTACGGCGCGCGCGGTGGGTGCCCGCCCCGCCCCCACCAGCCCCTGCCCTGCCCACACGTGCCCCGCCCCAGGCCCTGCCCCCTCCTCCCCCGCTGCTGAGCCCCTGGCTCCCTTCCAGCCGCCCTGCCGTCTCCGTTCGCCATCGCCGCCCGGCTTCTGGTAAGCGGTGCGGGGCGGCTGGGCGGGCTGGCCTCTCCCTGGCGGCCAGCCGGGCACCCAGCCGCGAGCCGCCCAGCCCCTCCCCCGCGCCACGAGTCCCTCTGCCCTGCAGACCGTCTCCTGTGACCCCTACGCGGGGGACGGCCGCGGGCAGGCCTCGCTGCGCCTCCTGCAGGTTCTGCACGGGAACGTCCACCCCCTGCTGGGGCCGTGCTGGGAGGCTGCCATCCCCCTGCTGCTGGCGCACCTGGACGGTGAGGCCCGGGCGGCCCGCCCCGCCCCCGCTCTGCCGCAGCGCCGGTGGCCCGGGAGCCCCTGGCGCGGAGGCACCCCGGGGTCTTGTGTGGGAGGCGGGCGCCCCTCCTGCGTCCCGTGGCCGGGGCCAGATCGGACCCGTGTCGTTCCAGAGCACACGGAGGCGTCCCTGGCGCAGGAGGAGTGGGAGGAGAAGCTGCTGACGGTGAGCGGCGGCCGGGTGGGGCTGGCCTGGGCGCGCCACGGGCTGCTCACGGAGGAGCCCCTGCCCACAGTTCCTCCAGGACACCCTGGCCGCGGTGTCTGACAACACGTGGACCTGCCAGCTGAGCCTGGAGATGTGCAAGCAGCTGCCTAGCTACGACGGGGCACCCCGGGAGAAGGTGCGGGGTGCCCACTGCAGGGGGCCTGTCACAGCCGTAGCACTGGCTCTTGTGCCCGCTGGCCATGAGCCCAGCTTGGGGGGGAGGCGGTGCGGCCCCTCGTGCTTCTCAGTCGCTGCCCAGTACGCGGCTGGTTGGCAGTGGTCAGTGTCGTGGCCCCAAAGGCAGGTGGCGGGCGGCCCTGGCTGGAGTCGGCATGAGCCCGCCCTGGCCTCTGGCCAGAGCTTCCTGTACAGATGCATAGGGACCGCGCTGGGCGCCGCCTCGGACAGGGAGGTGGTGAGGAAGCACCTGCAGGAGCTGCTGGAGACCGCCAGACACCTGGAGGGGCAGGAGCGCGAGGTGCGGGGCCCCGCGAGGCTCCGGGTGTGGGGGCGGGGCCTCGGCGTCAGGGGCGGGGCCTCGGCGTCAGGGGCGGGGCCGCGGTCCACGGAACCCTGGGCGTGCGCCTCCCCAGGGTCTCGCCTGCTGCTTCGGGATTTGTGCCATCTCCCACCTGGACGACACACTGGCCCAGCTGGAGGAATGTGTGAGGTCGGAGGTGTTCAGAAAGTCCGTGGGCATCTTCAGCCTATTCAAGGTGTCAGTCTGACCGGCCGGGTCTGCAGCGTGTGGGGGCTGTGCTGCTGGGGACTTTCTGTCTCCGCGCCCTCGCCCTCCGGGCTGCGCTGGATGTTGGCCCTCCCGCCGCTGGCCTCCGTGAGGGAGGCCGCTGCCCTCCGGTCTCACTGCCCTAACGGGTGGCCGGGAAACTATCCCTGCTGAAGGCGACTCCCTGCCTGCCAGGCTGGGGCCCGGGGCGCTGGGAGCTGCTGCGTGGCCCCTGGCCCCCTTCCTGAGGCCGCCTGCCCTGCAGGAGCGGAGCGAGGCGGAGGCGGAGCGCGTGAGGTGCGCCCTGATCCTGTGCTATGGCCAGGTGGCCGCGCAGGCGCCCCAGGAGCTGGTGCTGGCCCGGGTGGAGGCCGACATCCTCAGGAACATGTTCTTGTGCTTCCACACCAAGGTGGGCATGCGGCTGGCGTTGGGAGGGGCGTCCAGGCGCTCTGCTGAGCCCCTTACTCTGTCCTGCAGGTCCTGGGAGTGAAGGTGGAGAGCAAGGTACAGTGTGAGGCTGGGCCTGCTGCCTCAGGCCCGGTGCTCTGCCCTGCGAGGGGCAGCTGGAAGCGGGAGGTGCAGCTCCTCTGGCCCTGCCCCTGGCAGGCTGTGCCTGGGCCCTGTGCAGCTGACAGGCACCCTCCTGCCCGCCCCAGGGCCTTGGCTCGGCTGCCCTTGTGACCTTTGCCTCCCAGCTGCCGGGGCCCCTTACCCCCTGCGGGGTGCTCCTACCCTGTCCGTGCAGGGGACGGGCTCGGGGGCTCTTGGTGGCAGCGGTCATAGGCTTTGGGCTGAGGGGCTGCGGTGAGTCCTGCAGCCCCGCATCCCCCAGGACCCAGCCCTGAAGCTGTGCCTGGTCCGGAGTGTGTGTGCGGCCAGCCGGGCCGTCTCCAGCAGTGCCCACGCGGGCACCTTCCACTTGGCGCAGAAGCCCGAGCTGGTGGCGCAGATGCTGGTGAGCAGGGCTGGCCGGGGCTGGGGCTGGGCCTGGGGCTCTGGGCCCGGCTGACCGCCAGCCGGGGCGTTCCCCAGGAGTTCATCAAGGCCGAGCCCCCGGACTCCCTGCGGACACCGATCTGCATGAAGGCCATGCTCACCTGCACCCACCTGGTGTATCTTTTCCTGGCCGGCGCCGTGGGCGGGCGTGGGCCCCACAGACACGGCCCTTGACTCGAGTGCAGCCCGCTGGAGCCCGCGCTGGAGGAGCAGCTGCAGGCCAGCCTGGCCCAGGGCTGTCTGCACCGCGTCCTGGCTGTGCCGCCCGAGCCCGAGGGCTCAGCCCCTGGGGACCAGGAGGTAGAGCTGGGTGCCCAAGGGGCCGTGGGAAGGCCACTACGGGCAGTGGGGTCACTGGTGCTGGCCCCTCCTTCCCCCAGGCCCTGTACCTGGACACCATGCAGGCCCTGGGGGACTTGCTGGCTGGCCTCCTCCACCGGAACCTGACCCCCCAGGGCCTGCAGGTCATGGTGGAGGTAGGTGTGTGGGGTGCTGCCCCGGGGCCGCGTGTCCCCTCTGCGGGTAGGGCCTGAGGGCGGCAGGGTGGCGCACACAAGGCCCTGCCACCCTCCTGCGAGCCCAGGGCAGGGATCACCACCTCCTATGAGCCTGGGGGAGGGGTGGGCGGGGGCACCTGCGTGCGAGGCCTGTCCCCTGCAGGCCAGCTTGGATGGGACTGGCAGAGTCTGAGTCCAGCTGGCAGGACAGTGATGGGCAGGCGGGTGGGTGGGCTGTTGGGGTGGCTGCTCTCAGCTGACCTCTGGCCCCAGCCCGGGAAGGGAGGCCTGGCAGAGGCTGCCTGCCCTGGGGCACAGCCCGAGCCTGGGGCCGCCTGTGTGCCGTCGCCCCTCTCCCCAGCACCTGCGCCCCTGGATCAAGTCCCCGCGGGGCCACGAGCGGGCGCGGGCCCTGGGCCTGAGCGCCCGCCTGCTGCGGCACTTCCTGGAGCACCTGCACGTCAGCGTGAGTAGCCCATCGCGGCCGCGCCCTCGGCCAGGCCCACCCAGGGCTCCCACGCAAGGGGCGCAGGGCTGCCGGCCTGGCCATGCGTTCCCACCCCAGGGGCTGTGAAGGGGACGACGGAGCTGCGTCCCTCTGGCACCCCGCTCCGTCTGCCCCCAGGCCCTGGTGCCCTTCCACAACCTGGGCCTCCTCGTCGGCCTCTTCTCCCCCCGGTGCGCGGACCTGTGGCCGGCCACCCGCCAGGAGGCGGTCAGCTGTGTCCACTCGCTCCTGTACGTCCAGCTGGGCTATGAAGGTGAGGCCCGGGCTGGGCAGCGGTGGGCAGTTAGCGGGGCAGGCTGTTCCTTGGGCCTCCAGGGAGGCCTCCCTGCCGCCACAGCGGCCTGCTGCCTCTTCAGGCTTCTCCAGGGACCACCGGGATGAGGTGGCTGAGCGGCTGCTGACCCTCAGAGAGGGCCTGGTGCATCCTGACCCCACCATCCTCTTCCACACCTGCCACAGTGTGGCCCAGGTGCGTGTGCTGCGGGAGGTGGCCAGGCCTAGCTCTGGCTGGTGCTGGGCACTGCCCCGGGCCCTTCCCAGGTGGGGTGGGCACTCGGGCCCTGGGCCCAGGGCTGCTCTGGCCCCCGCGTAGCTCAGCTTGCCTTTCTTGGCGAGGGGAGTGGTGTCGGGGCTGGCATCCCCTGGGCAGCCCCGCCCAGCCCACTGGCCTTGAGGCACGCTGACCACCCTGCAGATTGTCGCCAAGCGCCTCCCGCCAGACCAGCTCATCAGCCTCTTGCTGACCTTGTTCGAGGGCTTGGGTGACCCGGACTCGAACTGCTCCCGAGCAGCCTCGGTCATGATCAGCTGTCTGCTGAAGGAGCGCGGCCACCTGCTGCTGGAGAAGGTGGGCGGAGCCCGGCCGGGGGCCATGGTGGGGCGGGCGGCGGGTGGGCCCGCTTCCGGGAGGGCTGTGCCCAGCTTGACCTGAGGGTGTGGGGTGGGCGTTCAAGGTTCCTTTAGCTCTGCTCCCTTTCCTTGGGACTCGGGGTGCAGGCGACACCCCTTCTGTGGTTCAGGGCGGGTGGGACGTACGGCTGCAGAGGTGGGGGAGGGGCGGTTGCACCGAGGGCTCCCGTCGCTGTGGGTGCAGGTGCCCAGGGCTGCCCGCCAGGCCTCAGGGTGCTGGGGCTGCGCCGCCCCTACCCGCCTGCCAGCGTCCTCTGTGCGCGCTGCCTGCTCTGCCCCTCCCCGCTCAGCTCGGGGGCTGGCGTTGCAGGGCCTGTGGAAGCCACTGGCCTGGTGCCCGTGGATGGGGGGAGCCCTGGGGCCGGGGCGGGGCCAGTCAGCTCAGAACCACAAGCTTCCTGGTGGCCCGGGCTGGGGGGCAGGGCGAGCCGGCAGGTGGTGCCCCCGTGGCAGCAGGTGCTGTCCACAGGTGCCCGAGATGGTGAGTGTGTTGCGCTGCCGGCTGCAGGAGACCCCGGCCGGGCACGTCCTGCAGGCCGCCCGGCACAGCATCTACCTCCTGGCAACCCAGCACCACGCAGCCGTGGTGTCCAGCCTCCTGGGCAGCCCCCTGCCCTTTGACAGGTACTCTGCCCATCAGCCCCGCGTGGCTGTGCCCCCCCGTCCCCAGAGGTCTGCAGGGTCGTCCTGCGTCTGGGACGTGCCTCACGCCGGCCCCAGCCAGGGCCTGGCCCTCTGGCCTGCAGGGCAGCGCGGCCTCCTGCCGTGGGGGGTGGGCTCCTGCCTTTGGCCCGCGGCCCCTGCCAGCCCAGGTCTGCACCTGTGGCTAGAGCCGAGGCCTGCGGAGGCCGGGGGCCCACAGGCGGGTGACGCTGCTACCCTGCCCAGCCACTCCTGCACCCTGTGGCGCGCCCTGGCTGTGGAGCCCAGCCTGACCGCTCAGGTCCTGGGGCTGCTCCTGGACAAGATGGGCCGCGACGTCCCCTTCAAGGAGAGCCGGACCTTCCTGCTGAGCAGCTCCCCCGAGCGTGTGGCCACGCTGCTGCCCCTTGCGGTGAGCACGCTGGGCCGCTCTCCAGAATCCAGTCTCTCCTGGCCCCTGGGCACCCCTCCCTGCCAGGCAGACCCAAGGCTGAGGCCAGCCTTAGGTCCTGCAGCCCTGGCCGCCGGAAGGGACACTGGCCTGGCTGGGCAGGGCTCACGGCGGCCTCCCCTAGGCCACGTGTGCGCTGCGGGAGCTGGCGGGGGTCCCCGAGGCGGGCCCCGCCGTGCTGGAACTCTACCCCCGGCTCTTTGCCGCGCTGCTGCTGCGGGTCGGCTGCACCCTGGATGTCCGGCTGCCCCGAGGCCTGCAGGCCAAGGAGAAGAGGAGCCCCAGCTCGCCAAGCCTGGAACCCTGCAGGTATCGGCCAGGAGGGCCAGGTGGCCACAGGCAGTATCGTGCCACGAGGGCTGGCCCAGGCGCCCTGGCTCTCACAGGGCAGCTGAAGAGGCACCACGTTGCCGTCCTGCGGCTGTGCCCTGGCAGGGCAGCTCACCTGTGGACACTGCAGGCTGCTTGGCGGGGGCTGGCCCCACCTTGGACTTTGAGGCTGCCCACTGGGTCCCGCTGCCGGCCCGCCCTCCGCGCCCAGGCTGCCCACGGGGCTTTGCCCTCCTCAACCCTGCAGCGGCCTCATATGCCAGTGCCGGTCAGCTCTGGGCGCCCAGTACCTGCGGGCTTCAGGGTGGAGACTGCGGGGCCTGTTTGGGGACCTGCACTGGCTGGGCTGGGCCACCCGGGCGGTGTCCTGAGCAGGTGGCTGGAGCCCCAGGGCTGGCTGGACAAGGGAGCGCCTGTGGCCCTGGGGACGCTGGCCAGCAACCCCTGCCCTGCCCAGCTGTGTGCCCGTCTTCAGTCAGTGTCTAAACCTGAGGTGACCAACCTAGTTTGGGGGCTATGGGCCCTGAGCGGTGGCCCCTGGGAGCCCGTGGGGCGGTGGGGGGGTGCGGGGGGGGGGTGCCGGCGGCCACAGCGCCAGAGCCTGTCTCCACAGCTCCGCGGCGGCCGCGCTGCAGGCGGTGCTGCTCCGGGGCGGCAGTGAGGATGTGGTGCAGAGCGTGGAGCTGGAGGGCGGCTGGGAGCTGCTGCGGACCTCTGCTGGCCATGAGGAGGGCGTGGCCCTGCTGGCCAGGTGAGGTGGGGTGGGGCCGGGCCCAGTGCTCCGCCCAGCACGGGGCGGGGCCGGCCTGAGGCCCCGCCTGTCTTCCGCCCCCAGTGCCATGGCCAAACTCGCGGGCCCCCGACTGCCCCCCGCGGTCCGGGTGCTGCTGAGCGCGCAGAGCAGCGTGTACGAGGCCCAGAGGGTCACCGCCACGGCTTTCCTGGCAGAGGTGGGCACTGGGGTCGCGGCCGCTGAGGCTGCCAGGTGGGGAAGGGGTAACGTCAGCCTTGGGGCCCGACCCCGCCTTGGCCTCGTGCCGCCGAACCCCCGGAGGGAAAGCTGCGGGGGCTGCGCCAGGCCCGCAGGCCCGGCAGGGTGGCCCCTGGCCGGGCTCGCCAGGCAGTGCCTCTGCCCACAGCTGCTCAGCAGCAAGGTGGTCGATGACCTGATGCTGCTGGACTCGCTGCTGGACGCCCTGGTGGCCCGGCAGAAGGACACGAGCGCCAGCGTGCGCCGGCTGGCTCTGCGTGGTCTGGCCAACGTGGCCTCTGGCTCTCGGGAGCAGGTGAGCCGGCGGGTCCCCGGGGCCTGGGGGGGGCGGGGGGCAGCGGTGCCCTGCGGCTGAGCACAGGTCGCGCCCCAGGTGCAGGCCCACAGCCCGCAGCTGCTGACGGCCATGATCGCGGGGCTGGACGATGGGGACGACCCGCACAGCCTGGTGGCCCTGGAGGCCATGGCGGGCCTGGCCAGGCTGCTGGACCTGCTGGACCCCTGGGAGCTGCGCTCAGTGCTGCTGCACGTGGCCATCCGCGTCCGGCCCTTCTTCGACAGCGTAGGTGGGGCGGGGGCCAGACTGAGGGGCAGCGGCCCCTGGCCGCCGGGCGGCGCTTGGCACCCGTGGGGGCAGCCCCCGTGGGGGCTGAAGGGCGCGGTAGGGGCGAGGCCCTGGTCATTCGACTGCGGGGACTGGCTGGCTCCCTGTGGGGTGACATCGGCGCCCCGCAGGAGAAGATGGAGTTCCGAGCGGCGTCCGTTCAGCTCTTTGGGCGCCTGAACGAGGCCTGCCG